AAAGCAAAATGGCAGCAGTAATGATGATCATTTGATTGGGATTCTCACTTTTTTTCTAGTAGAATGAGTTTCCCACCAGTTGAGATGTTCGCTAGCTTAGAAACTTGCCTTTCTGAAACTTTTCAGATGTTTTTTCCAACACAAAGCCCTTCCGACACCGCCCACAACAACCCGAAGACAGACAGCTGACTTCCCCACCACCACATTGCATCTGATTAAAACAGTCCGACTCCCACCTTCCAACGGTCTGGTTGGCGAGCTGCCGCATGCGGTTGAACTGTTTCTTCATGTCTCGAATCCTCTCTGTCTCCTTCTAGTCTGAAAGTCCGCAGCACCGAGTCCTGTCGATCATCCGCCGCTGGTTCCACAAAGTTGCGCTACGTCGCAGCCATTGCGCCAACACTCACACCCAGATCACTTTTCCTCCCAATAAAACGGAGTATATTTGTTTCCTATTGAAGCCAGCTGATGTGCGCTTTAGAGCAGAAGAAGCGGGTCTACAAGCAGCCTGTGGCCAGCTCCCGCTTCCCCATTGAAGCGGCTGTTCTGGGATCTGGCTGGTCTCAGATCAGGCCAGAGGTAGGAAGGAGGAAGTGGCTCCGCTCCCCCCTAGCTCACACGAGCCGCATGGCCCCAGTGGTGACATGTGATAGAAAAACATCAAATACAACCAGCCAGCTTCCATACTTTTCAGTGTCAGTGCAATTTTTTTTAAATAAAATAAAACGTTTAAACTGGAAATAAATCGGTTTTAAAAACAGAATGAAAATCAGACGGATGTGTCCACACCCACATGTTGATCCCTCCGTTGTTTTTCTTGTATTTTATATTTCTTTTACTTTGTCTTTTGAACAGCTTCTCTTAATCTGAGTTCATTTGGTTTCCAGTGAGTAATTCTTCTTTTGAAGCACTTTTAAATATCCGTGGGTCCCAAATATTTTATTTGTAAAGCCGCAGGCTGTTCATGTTTACACAAATATATCTACAGTCTGTGGTCTTTATGAAGTAGAGCCTGCACACGACAGAAACGTTCAGTCTATATTTGGTATTTTTGATGAGAATCACAAAATAGAACCGGATAAAGAGGCTAAAGTGGCGGTTGGATTAAAGTGAATGAAGATTTAAAACAATTCGTCTGCTGCCACCTAGCGGCTGATTTTGTCTTACCCGATCATAATTTAATTATCTGACCTCAGAGGTCATTTCAAATAGTTTCTTACCCCATGGGAGTCCTGGGGAGAGGATTAATGTTGCGGGAAGCTGGAATTGAACCAGCAACCCTCAGTTAGAAGAATTCATTCCAAGTACATTTTCATTTAATCAATGAGTTTCAGTGTGTTTCATGATCAGGTGCAAAATTAAACATTTATTTTCCAAACTAAATATGTAGGTTTTATATAAATATTTAGTTTGTTAAATAAATATTAATTCACTAACTACATATTTAGGTTGTAAAATTAATATTTAATTAAAGTCATGTTTTACATGTAAAATTGATAAATTGTTGTTGTTGACCGAATAAAAATATCTATCTATCTATCTATCTATCTATCTATCTATCTATCTATCTATCTATCTATCTATCATCTATCTATCTATCTATCTATCTATCTATCTATCTATCTATCTATCTATCTATCTATCTATCTATCTATCTATGCTCTCACCATAGTATTCATATCTTTCTGATTGTTAAAGTACCCCACTAAATAGTAAGTTATCAAGTCAAATATTTAAGTATTTATGGACATGAACAAAGACAGGAAATATATAAATTGAGATTTATTTAATTAATATAACAAATAAGGGGGAAAGAGTCATTGAAAGGCACATTCTTCCGGAAGCTCCTGATCATGACGACACCAGACCAGCTGCAGACACCAGAGGACCTAGAACCAAGAGAGCAGCTGTTATCAGTAAATAAATAAATCAGGGCAGTTTTAGTGGGCTGAACACATTACAGAATAATTTTCTCATGGGGTATTTTCATACATTTCTATGCAGCATACTGTAACTTGAGCTCCTGGAGAGCTGCTATCCAGCACGTGTCAGTGGTTTTCCTGCTTTAACAGGTTAGATTAGCTGTTAAGCAGCTCAGCTATTTGTTGCTGATTAAAACCAGGTGTGTTGAAGCAGATAAACCTCTAAAACATGCTGAAAACTAGCTTTTTAGGGCCGTGGAGCCAAACTCTGCAGCTAATCCAATGCTATGGCTAACGGCTACTTACCATTCAGAGCTGGTTCTGCTGGGTTGGTTCCGCTAGTTTCAGGCAACTCACAAGCTCAAAACAATAAGGCTCAGGTCTGCTTGTCTCCTCCAAATAGACTTGGTCCCTTTCTTCTCGAGTGTCTGGGTAAGGAGGGGGAGAAACGTCCTCCACTTCTAATAACTGCTCAGAGAGAAGGGAGCTAGCATCGTTTAGTTAGCCATCGTCTTCGTCACTGCCGCGGCTCTGCCCTCTCGGTCCTCCAGGCAACGCCTACTAATGTTGCATTTTTTAAAATTGATATGTGGGTGGAGAAGGACTCCGAGGCACACTTGACCTGCTCTTTAATTTAGAGTTAAATATCTATTTTCCAAATTAAATTATTAGGTCTGACCTAAATATTTAGTTTGTAAAATAAATATTTTATTCACTAAGTAAATTTTTAATTTGGAGCTAAATATTTAGTTCACAAACAAAATATTTAGCTGAAAGCTAAATGTTTGGTTTCCAAAATAAATATTTAGATCCCAGCTGAATGTTGAGTTTTGGGGCTAAAACTAAATATACATTTAGCAAATTAAATGTTTAGCTCCAAACTAAAAATTTAGGTCTGACCTAAATATTTAATATGTAAAATAAATATTTAACTCTAAATTAAATATTTTTCTTGAGAACTCACTATTTAGTAGGGAACTTTAACAATTAGAAATATTTGAATACCATGGTGAAAACATGACTTTGGAAAATGAACTTTCATTTTATTCCTCTGAGGCAAAATAATCCAAAATACTGCTGTTAAATTATGACTCGTTGGCTTTACAAAAGAAACCCCATATGTTTGTGTATTTATTTGTTGTGTGTTTACATTTCGCTCTGACATATGAATCATCAGCAATTGAAAAGGGTCCTAAACTCATAGATGAACCCGTGATGTGTCGACACAAGTAAGAAAACACATAGGTTTTCCAAAGACATTGCTGAAAACCTAGGTTTTATATATATATATATATATATATATATATATATATATATATATATATATGTATATATATATATATATATATATATATATATAACTCAAGATACTAAATATTCCAATTTCTTTTCATTTTTTTACACATCTACCTTTGTTGAAGTAGTTTACTGGAATGAATCTTGAAATCACTGTATAATTTCTTATTTCCAAACATATTTATGTTGTGTTTGGATTTTTGTAAAAAAGAACAGTTAGGCAAAAGTAGAAGTGACTTGCAACTCACTATACTTAAGATTTTTGCATTATATATTATTTCTCTTACTTTTGATCTATATTTGAACATTATCCTAAATAAAGAAATCCCTAACATAATTTAGAAAAGGTTTTCTTAAATCTGTCTGGTTTCTGCTCCTGTCAACAGCGCTGTCCTTTAAAACCAAAAGAATAATCAACTATATCTGCATGAATGATGAATTAGAAAAAGATGTCTCTCAGACTCCTTCCCCTTTCAGCTGAAGATTTATTTATATTTTTAGCTTCAGTCAAAATTGAATTACTTCTTGTTTTCAGCTGTTTTTTAGAAGAGACCTAATGGCCTTTTGAAAGCCAGGAGACGTCTCTGCTCAAGCTTTGTGCTGCTGCTTCTCCGTCCCTGAATGCCGACTCGGCACTGGACGGTGTCATGCTGTTTCCATATTGTACCCCTGGGCCTCCCCGCAGCAAGGGCCCACATGGGAAAGCAGACCAGGCGGCGGGATAAACCAATTACCCCCCAGCTCGAGTGGCCTCCTGCCGCTGCAGCATGCAGCAGCTCCGGGCCCAAGCCCTCCGACGGCTCCATCCCCATGAGAGCCTGTTGGGATTCCCAGAGATGGGAATTGTGCCGTCTCAGAAGCCTGCAGAGAGGCTGGATTTTGCTTTGAAATTTGACATGGTGGCCTCCTGGGACTGTGCAGCAGGAGGCAAAGTCATACTGGGCTTCTGCTGGGCTCTGGCAGCCCTTCATGAAAACGAGACATTTTTATAAACTTTTTCCCTCACTTTATAAATACTGATGGAACCAGAGAATGTCTTTAGAAATGCTGTTTCCAGCCGTCTCGTTTGTTAAAACTATGATGCAGCTTAAAATGCACAGATAAAAAGCCAGATATATATGACTTAAAGTAAAACAAATCAACACTCATGGGCTCCTGAAGGTCTCCATTTGGGACATAAGCTCCAACAATGGTCATTATGTCCTCCGAAGCCTTGTCCCAATGGGGTCATTGACCCCTCAGACATTTACACTTCCACTGGCAGCTATTTAGAGCTCATAAATAGTTCAACACAGCAATTTGTGAGCTGAATGCAACCAAGAAGAAGAAGAAGAATGTGTAGCAGAACAACTTATCGACTATATGAATAACAGTCCATTTAATCTTCATCCAATGCAGTTTGGCTTTAGAAAACATCACTCGACTGACACAGCCATCTGCTTTCTTATGGAAAAAATCAAGTCTAAGATTGATACTGGTGGAGTAGTAGGAGCATTGTTTCTCGACTTAAGGAAAGCATTTGATACTGTGAATCATCGGATCTCAATGAGCAAACTTTCACATTTTAACCTCTCTACAACAGCTATACAATGGATGGAATCATATTTATCACAAAGAAAACAATGTGTAAGAGTACAGGACAAAACATCTAGAATATGTGAATACAATCATGGAGTTCCGCAGGGGTCAGTTTTGGGTACCCTGTTGTTCAGTAGTTACATAAATGATCTCCCACTTTGCTGTCCACCAGATGTATATTGTCAAATGTATGCTGATGACGCAGTAATATATGTCCATGCCAAAAATATAAACTTGGCAGCAAAAACACTGACATCTGTAACGATCAGGGTTACTGAATGGCTGGAAAATTCCCAACTAATCCTGAATTCTGCCAAAACTGTCAGCAAGTTTTTCTCCAAAAGAGTTCCTCATGAAGAAACAGATTCATGAGTAATACTACATGGAAAAAAATTAGAAACAGTGCAAGAATATACTTGGGAATTGTTCTAGACTCACAGCTTACCTTCAAGCAACAAGTAAAAAAAAAGTAAATAGAATGAAATTCAACATATCAAACTTTAAATACATTAGAGAAAACTTAGCACTAGAGTCAGCAAAACTTTATTTTAATGCTATGATCGTTTCACACATGACTTATTGTACATCCAGTTGGACAAAGGCAAACAAAACCACGTTAAAACCAATAACTACAGCATATAATCAGCGCTAAAGGTTCTAGACGGAAAACCAAAAGCACATCATCATTGCAGAATTCTTGAAAAATACCGAATACTGAGCTGGGAAAACATGATTAGATATACAGATTCAATACTTATGTTTAAAATATTACATGGATTGGCTCAGATTCCATTACAAGAGTACATTAAACAAAAAGGAAAAGACAATACATCGACCAGGGCGAGTTTCAGGGGTGACTATCTGATCCCCTTCAGAAGAAGCACCTTTGGACAGACGGTGTTTTCATATCACGCCTCAAGAACATGGAATACAATTCCAACAGCGATCCGTGAACGTAATACTTTGAATTCTTTTTGCAAAGAACTTAAATTGTGGCTGTTAGATACTCAAATCTGTTCACACAATCAAACATAAACAGAATACATAACAGTAAATTTAAGGACAAGGTAAAGAGTGTTTTTCCACTGAGGTAGGGGCTATTATATTGTCTTGCTGCTAAATGGTGTATGGTTATATTTTATTTATGTATTTGGAAAATTTTAACTTGTGCGGCTACTTTTTAAGTTTTAATACAGGGTAAACGGAAGTAGTTAATTTTACAAATTAGGGTGTTTTATGAAAATTTTTGGGGGGGTTTAATTTTAGGATCACAACAATGTTTTGTACTTGTTTTCCTGACTGTTTGTATTCACACATGTGTAGCAGCTATCGACCTGCTGAGGGACTAAAGATGGAAATTAGCCTTGGCTATAATCTTGCATGTTTACATTTGTATAAATATATACATGTCCATTAATATGTACTGTCCCTTTTACAAATAAACTTAAACTGAAGAAGAAGAAGAAGAAGAAGAAGAAGAAGAAGAAGAAGAAGAAGAAGAAGAAGAAGAAGAAGAAGAAGAAGAAGAAGAAGAAGAAGAAGAAGAAGAAGTGTGGAAACGTCAAGTAATTCTTCTCCTGGGGGGTGGTCTTTGAGGACCACACATCGGTCCACCTTCTTCTTGAGCAGAGATCCAGGCATCACAACCCTGATCTATACACTTCTTGTCATGTTTTTTTTAACTAGAAAAATCTCGTTTAATAAAGGTTCTGGTTCACATCATGTTTGTAACACGGGGTCTCTGCAGAGAGCTGAAGGTCTGCTTGTTTACAGATAATGAAGATGTACATTTGAGTTTGCTCAGGAAGAACTGTGTGTGTCTAATTTATTTAGAAAATATAAAAATGCATAAATGAGCTCTGTGAACATCGATGTATTAGTTTTGCCTGGGTTCTGAAAAATGTTCAGTCAGGTTAAGCTAAAATGAAACAAGGCCTTTTCCATGTGCAGAAACTGTGACTTTATTTTATGTTTGTCAGCAGATGCTGGTCTAAAAACTATTTTCACCCATTATCAAAAGCTGCAGATAAGAACTTTATTCAAGATAACTCAGATTTGTGCCCAAAGACAAACAGGTGATGACTCTTGTGTTTCTCTTCTCCAGAGGCAGCAGGGTGAGCGACAGCTGATGTGAGGAGACACATAACGGGAGCAGCAACCCAACCCCTCCTCTGTCTCTCATGACTGATGGGACAAAGGCCGGTCCTCTCAGAGCCTTGGCACACCAGGGTCTGCACCACCAAACCTGATTTCACCAACATTTGAGCAGCGTGCCCCTGCTGCTAATGCTGCCTTACAAGGTTCCCACTGGCCCCTCAGAGACTCTAAACTCCATCAGCCTAAAGGGAAGTCGCAGGAATTCCTTCGCTCTGTCCTGGCTTTGTGGTAAACAGATAAGAAGTCTTTGTATCGAGGAGCGCAGCCTAACCAAGCCTCCCCAAAGTGTTCTGACCCTGTGAAGAGAAACTCTCCGCCTCCAGGCCTGACGCGGCACCGCAGCTGGGTGTGGATGTGTCCGTGCCAGGGCGGAGATGACCCAGATGGACCCACGTGTCTCTCAAATGCTCTGGAGCGCTGCCAGTAAACCCTCACCGCCAAAACCTCCACCTGAGAGGTCTGACGCACAGAGTCGTGGGAGACGTTCTGAATAAGGCCTCGAACCACTGAAAGAGCCAAACAGAACCACGTCTCATCGTCAGGATGTTCAATCCAGGAAGTGTTGTGAAATTTGCTCAAGAAAACTTTATCAAAACAAATGTCAGTAACTGCAAGCAGAGAATGATGGGAAAAGATCCCACCACATCTGAACTTACTTAAGGTGGACTGCCCTTCGAACCTCACTTATCATAGAGATTCTGTTAGCTCTACGTTACACTGGTACCCACCAAAGTCGCTGTTGCAGATGGCCATGAGCAGTTCTGTGTCATCGCAGGGTCGGCACGGATCTGGGTGGACAGAAAGGAGAAAATCCCACTTTAAACAAGTTCACCTGTTTTAACTTTCAGTCATTAGTGAACTTCTAAAGTTCAGATATGAAGATCAAAAGCCTGATGACAAGAGGAGGTTTTCAGCTCCCCTCAGCTCACATCACAGGCTGGAGGAACCATGGCGTCGCTGGAGGAATGCCGCAGCATCACCTCCACATCTTGACCCCTTGTTTGACTCCTTTTTGTCTCCACCTAATTGAATGACACCCAGGAGACTGCAGAAGTCAAACTGCCAATGTGCAGAGCAGATAAGCAGACAGCGATCTATTATGGACACGTTATGACATCACCACATGGAAACGGCCCGCACACGGGGACAAATGCTAATAAAGAGACGGGCACAATCATGAGACATTTGTGGAATGTAAGAAGTATTTGCCGGCTGAAAGCAGGCCTCCTGGCCCGGTGCCCTCCAGCCTCTGAGTCCTCTCTGCTTTGTCCACTGATGGAAACCAGACAGGCAAACAAAACACCAGACTGCCCAGCAGCTGCACGCTCCAGTCAGCTACACACCACTCTGTAATTAGATCAATGCCGTGGGCTTTCTGTTGCTCACACATCTGGGAATAAATGCTCTGCAGCTATTTTTGTCACTATTCACAATGCAATAATCAGATTTAGTAGGTAAGAAGTTGTCCTCTCGAAGGAAAACCAGAACACTGCAGCACAGTCCCTGATCCTGGGCAAGCACATGGTGACAGTGGGAAGCAAAATCCCTGTTTAACCAGGAGAAAATTTGTTGTCACTTGATTAAAAAAAACATGTCACATTTGTCTAATAGTTTTATTTGAACTTTTCGAAAAGGAATCTATTTCAATGAGATCCAATTAATCTAAATAACTAGGTGAAATTAACAAGGAACACACACACACAAACACACACACACACACACACACACATCAGAGTTCAAACATGGACCGTGGACATGTGAAAAACTTGAGTTTTGACAAGAATTGTATTTTTTTTTGTATAGATTAATCAAATCTTGATCAACCTATTATTATTATTATGATTATTATTGTTGTTGTTAATTAATTGATTAATTAATTTATTTATTTATTTATTTATGCATTAATTGTTGACCAAATTAAGGTTAGAACATTTTACTGTAATTAAAAGCCTCTTTAACACACTTGACAAGACATGCAAAAGGAAACAGTTGAATTAAATGTTTTGGTGTGTTCTGGAGGACCCATACTCACTCTGCAGACCTCCCTGCAGGTTTGTGGCCTCAGCCCTCCTGATGTCCCGCAGCTCATATCTGAAGCCCAGTCTACGCCTTGTCCCGGTTCCTGGACTCTCCGGGCTGGCTTGGATGTAGATAGCGGGTCTGTGCGGTCCTTCTGCCCGAAAACAGAACACCTCCCGCCCAGACCGCCCGTCCTCCGTCACCAGCAGCTCCAGCCGCCCGGCCCGCTCCACAAACACGGCTCCACCTGCAGATGGAGAGGGTTTGATGCAGACGGACCCGCGGCGGCTGGAGGACAGATTGGGTTCTAGGACCACCCTGAGAGCCTGACCCGGGTGGACCCACCTCACAGAGCCCTCGGTGCAACGGAGCCGAACCTGGAGAACGATCTTGGGGTCCGGGCCAGCTGCAAAACCGCTGGGTCCAAAAATCCAGTGGTGCACACCGATTATTAAAACATGACCACAAAACAGTTGTATAAGTCTGAGAAGCTTTGTTGAAACAAGAAAATGTTGGCATTAAAACTTTAGTCATGCAAAAATGAGTTTAATTCGTTTCTCAAAGAAAAAATCTACAACGTTTCGATACATAAACCACAAACTCTATAAACGTCCCACCAAGATTAAAACAAATCTAAAAAAGGCCGTTTTAAGCTCTCACCCTCCGGTCCAGTTACACAGATCCGCCCCACAGCGCAGCACCAGCAGACCGGTGATGATTATCACATTTACCGGAAACATCTCGCGGTGAAATGACAGATCCGTAAAGAGGCTGAAGGCAGAAAATGCCTGAGACAGACCAGACTGCTCTGACCCTCTTTCTGTTGTGACTGATAAAAAAAAAAAAATACAACGAGCCTCTCCTCCACGCGCACTCGAAAGCCCCCCTCCCCCTCCTGATCCAGTTGTTGGGGCTGGCCTCGACTCGCTGCTCTAGAGACACCTGTCTGAAAATCCTTCTGCCATAGGTCCATTATTATGGTTCTGATGCACACGTCACCGTCCGTTTCAACAAGAATTTAAACCTGCAAATTACACAACAAAAGTTAAAACCAGTGTTCAGACAAGCATAGACAACACACGCACGCACACACACTCAAAGAGAGAGAGAGAGAGAGAGAGAGAGAGAGAGAGAGAGAGAATGTTCCCTTCAGAGCTGCAGCATCACCAGAAATACATTTAAACGGATCACAGAAGATATACTCGATGTATGTCAGTTCAGCTGACAGAGGATGATGACGTAATTTCATCTGAATCTTTTACTAACTGATGCATCTCATCCCCACAGCCTGATAGCAGCTTTAACGTTCTCTGATGTTGGCCACTGTCTCTGCTTCCTGGTCCATACGTTTAGTCATAACTGAGATCAGTGAGCAGGTAACCAGACTTTGGCCCAAAGCTGTGTCTGTTTCATATGTTCATTATAAAACTGTCTGGGGAAACTTCACAACCCCTTGTGGGTTTCTGCGTTTGGACGTCATCTGGTGGCAAAACGCTGCAGCACACCCCTTCCTCACCAACACCTCTGGAAGGCTCCATGGCCAACCCTCACTCCTCCCCCTCCTCGGGCCTCACAGGGGGCAGTAACTCGGCGACATCTCATTTTCTGTGCTCGCTACACTCACCAGCTTTCGTCATGATTAATCCGCTCAGGAGCAGTTCCGCTTCCGTGCAAACTGCAGGATGGAGATCATCTGGAAGTCAAGATGGTGGGACAGAGGTGACTTCCGTGGAACTGAGTTGGGCTATAGTCTGAGGCGGATAAGGTTGCTGGATAAATTCCCTTCCTAACTCGATTTACTGATCGGATCAAAATATGGAACATGTATCTCCTCAATTTTCCAGATTATATTTTTTAAATGACCCAATGAGAAATTTGCAATGCAATGTTATATTTAACCCCAAATGATTGTGTTTTAAAGAGTCACCAAAGCGTGAAAGCGCGTAAAGAAGAACTTTCCAGGATGGTGAGGGACATGTGTCCCAGAGAGACAGAGACAGGTCAGATGATGCGAGCCGCGGCCTCTGCTCGCTGTAGGCCCGATGGACCAACGCGATGCGTTTGTGGAACCGACGGAAATCCCCACTCTGCAGAAAACGTCCCAACCCCGCTGCGGGCTCCAGGTCCTGATCAGGTGTCACCTAAACGCTTCACAATACTAAATATAATTTCATCCGCACTCATGTCGTCATACAGCCTGAAGGAAAGACTCGTCAGTGCAACCCGAACTTTGGCTCTGTCCGGGGCGCATGCATGAGTTTCATAATCACCATCAGAACTGTATTTAGGATATTTGCGCAAAACTATAAAAAATAAACTCAAAAGGAAAACTTTCAATAAACGTTTGACCTTTCTTGGACTAAACAGTGGGGTGACTTAACTTTACGCCTTTCAGAGCAGAAGAAGTCAACACATGGCACGTGACCTCATATATATATATTATTGAACTAATAAAAACAACTTCTAAGGAACCATCAGCAACTTCACATTTACAACCCTAAAGCCTCCCACCATCCGTTAAGTAAAACGTTTCAATCTTAAACGAACTCTTTATTAAAGGTTTATTTGTTTATTCAAACTTTACTTTCAATTAAAAACATTTTATTAAAAAGTTTTATTGCACTAAAAACTAATAAAATAATTATTTCAATCTCACCTCCATAATTAACCAGATCAGATGTTTTTCTCATCTGAAGGCGAACGCCAGAAAAAGGAGCCAGGCTGTTGCTTTTTTTATTTCCCAGTATTAAATATCCGTATTTACACGTTTAACTCAGAAACTTAGAAAAAATAGATTTTTTTACAGTAGGCCTGTTAGTTAGTCGAGTTCTGACGTTTCTCGGTCTGAACTCATCTTTTCTCCTTGAAGAAGCCTTTTTCCGTGCTGCTCTCCCTGATGGTGACCGTCAGGAAATTCATGGTGACGTCTGTGACCGTCACACTGTCCAAACTGGAGAAACAGGGAGTCCAGGGGGTAGCTGATGACGGTGAGGGCTCCGCTCCCCGCTCCTCGTGCTTCAGGTTGTCGCACTGGGAGAAACGTATCCTGCTCAGATCATAAATCCTCTCCCGGTCGCTTTTACGCACGCCTGCGTTGGCGCAGGCCAGCCCTGCGCTTGTCGCGCGCCTCTCGCTGCTGGATTTGGGTGTGATGGTGGTCTCCTCCTGAAACCTTCTGGTCAGCTGAATGAGGCTCTGCTCTGAGGTTTCTCCGTGGTGGGACATGCGTCGGGACATTTTAGACTCCTCCGGGAACCTGCTCCGTTTGGGGCACGGTTCTGGTGAGCTGTCCTGCTCATCATAGTAGAGATTCGGTTTGCGCCCTCGCTTTTTGGGTAACCGCATGGACTCTGGGTCTAGAGCCTCTGGTATAGGGGGTCTAGGCCTTCTTTCTGGCTCCGGGGCTCGGATGGGGACACTTTCACCCCGATTGACTGCGCTCGGTGGGAAGATTGTGGGAACCACGGCCCGTAAACCTTCCCGGGCCCTCGGTGTCACAACGTGCTCCGGGATAGGATAGGAAACCTGGATGCTTCTGGGGGTCTCTCTCCTGAACTCATACGTCTTTTCTTTGACTTTTGCTTTGGCCTAAAACAAGGAGAAAATCATAAGGCACCGTCTTATTAATATCTAATTCATGAGGGGTTCATCAAATTTAAACAGACAAGTCTGGCTGAAATAAAGACCTAAGGCATTGCCATAAAAGCGATTTAAACATTTGGAAATGGAAAAACAGACGAGCTCATAGTCTTTATATCATTTAATCATGTCACCAAAAACCTCTTCTGCCTAAAGTCGCTGAGAAGTCTCATTTTCTGGGACTTTTTCTTGTTCACCATGCAAGCAGGTGAGATGATAAACTAACATCTGGTGAAACATCAGAGGAGCACCTCATCACCTTCAGAAGAAAGGATTCGGATTTTGGTCCCCGCTTCTTCGGCCCGAACAGCTCCCGTTCGCGCTCCCTGATGGGGCAAAACCACCAGCATCTTATTAGGATTCATTCACAACAAAAATACACAAACAGGACGGCCATGATTAGTTATTTAAACGCGTTTTGTTGTAGTTCCAAATAAATAAATAAATAAACCAGTTGGTTAGAATAAAGCGCTGTAATCAACCCCCGCAGACAGATATGTGTGCCCCTCCCACCTTTCCTCAAAGGCAGCAAAGAGTCGTTCATCCAGAATATTTTCCTCCGGCTCCCACGTGCTGTACCTGCATCACAACAGAACTCGTGTCATTGCACGAACTTTTTTTTAAATATGTATTAAATCGCTCTGCAGCTGCGTAGCCGACAGTGGCGCACAGCGACAGCCATATTTATCTGAACTATACGAACAAAAAGCCTCTAAATGAACACGTCTTATTCCAAAATAACGCACAGGTACCCGCAAACAAATGACATGCGTCACAGGACATGCAACGGACAGGGAAGCTGTGAAAACAGAGCGTCATGGTGCAGTTTTGCGAGCGGCCAGGATGGAGCGCTGTCCTTCACCACACGGATTTTATGTACTCACTTCTGAGACCAGCCCTTCCATTTGACGAGATATTCCCAGCGACCCTGCAAAAACACACACGCACACCACCGTAAACACCCTGAGATCACAGCGAGGCGCCCATCGAGCGCGCGCGGACACATGTTTAGGTAACACACGCAGAAACGCAGCCAGAGGCGAGAAGAAGATCAGCGCGTACCCGTCGGATCCTCCGTTTAATGATGGACTCGGCTGCGAAGACGCTTTCACCGACAGCCGACAGCTCCATGCTTCACCATGCGCCGACTTTATTTCTCACTCTTTTATTATTATTAGTGAGGCTTCCCACCTTCTCGTCCTGGCTTCGGTTTGCTTAAATCCGCACATCCCATAATACGCAATCTGGAGTGGACGTCATCACGTCTCGCTGTGTTGCCAGGCACCGCGGTCGGGCAGGACGGAGCGCGGCGGAGCGCATTGGCTCGGTTGTTGCTACGTGCTCCGGGTTTGTGAGCGGAGGGGTGGAGTTCCCCCGCTGCTGGCGGCTGTACAGGAATGTCTGGCACAGCGGAGCGAACCGAGCCGAGCCGGAGCGGCGGGAGGGGGTCCAACCGCCCCACAGCGAGCCATTTGGAGATCTTTTTATTCTTGAGCGTCAAAAATGGAACGAAGCAGGAACTTGTTTCATTATTTAAATGTGAGGGGTGGGGGTGGGGGGGGGGGTGGGGGGGGGGTGGGGGGGATAACCCGAATAACCCTTACACAGCACGTTGACTACATGGATATTCAGTCACACAATGACGGTTACAACATCAAATATTACAATAAACACGAGTAAGGAATAAAATATGTAAGTGTTTATTGTTACTTAAAGGTCAATGAGTCAATCAAACCCCCAGAATCGCCTGGGCCTGCAGCACGGCTCATCAGTATTTTAATAAATAAACATTATTATATTAATAAATATTTACTTTAGGATTCATACTTGAACATAATTCTAAGAAGGGTCACGTGGCCTCTGATCCGTTTTGCGCTTCATGGGTGAATGAGTCCCGCATGTCTTCTAGAATCGACACAGAGCGCCAAAGACAGATTTATGTGCGCAAAACTAAGTAAAACAACAACGTCAGCATCTTTATAATGGTGAGTTCAACAGTGGACGTCAGGAGTGTTTCTGGTTGGGTTTTCAGGATTCCCTTCGGTTTCTGTGGCGCAGAAAATGGACGCTGGGTGTTTTAATTTTAAAAGAAAATGACTAAATTAAACAAACTTTAATGTTTTGGGAGAAACTAAATACTCTTATAAGAACTAGCTCCCTCCTTTAAAATAAGTGAAGACCCGCTGTTGGCAGCTGGAGTTTGTCAGGTCCTCGGTGAGCCTCATTGATCAAATTAATAATAATTTTACCAGCAAGTTTGGTTTCGGACGCTTTCTTTAGCCAAAGAATAATGATTATATTAATAATGATGTTAAAAATATAAAATTTAAATCTGTTTTCTGTCGTTTATTTATTTACAATAATAGTAGATTTTTTTTTCTTTAATATTTTCCAAACACGTATGATAACAGTCGCCACGACAGACACATTCCGTGTTTTAGAAATAATTGTTTGGGATTTTAACTGTTTTTCTTCTGTAATTTGCACGAATTTAATAATAAAACAATAAATGCTTTTAATTGTTCTGTTTTCAATGTGTCTCCTAAATCTGGCTAAGAGGCCTACAACGTTGACATTTTCGGTATTGTTTTTATAGTTATTATTGTTAATTTTGTTCTTTTGATTATTCAGATTTTTCATTTGTTAAAGTGATTTTTTATTTATTTTTGCTTAATTTTATTATTATTTGTGCTGTTGCATATCTTCACTCTTTTGACTAAAAACAAACAAAGAAATGAATAAAAAGAAAGAAAACAGCAATATTAGCTAAATATTACCCATAAAACTCAATAATAATTATTCAGCAGACACCCCAGACATGCGCACTCTCCTTCTGAAGGGTTAATCATTTTTCTAAATGAATGTAATCAAATAATAAACAATACAAACACGTGAACGTCTTTTCAGACTAGAAACAAGTTAATTCAGTTTCATATTTCAGTCCAAATATTCCCCAGATTCTGTTAGTTTGTCATGAGAACTAAAACACATAATGCGACGTCTGCAGGCCTGTGGGAGTTCAATCATCAATAAATAAATAAATGATGAATAATCCTCCACCGGAAGCTCCCGGGTGAGTTCGCTACCTGTCTCCTGCAGGTGATGTGTATTCTGACTGATGATTTTGGGGGGTTGGTCCTTTAGGGGGTTTTAAAATAAGCTGGTTAAAAATGTGACGCTGTGCTCAGGTGTGGGGTTTGTTTTTAATGCCAATTTTCTGCCGCTGCAGCATTTAAAACAATTACACAAATCTGGGATTTGGCTTTTTTCTTGCGCTGTGCTCTAGATTGCTTGAAATAAAACTTTAAAATCCAGCGCGCACCTCTAGAAACGCAATAATTAGAGGCTTTGTTGCTCATTTTGGATCTGTGGTTAAATTAAAGATTAAATTAAAGACAAATAATGAAAGAACTGATGTTTTCTGATGAAGAGGAGTCCGTCTGCTGCGCGGGGAGGACCCGCACCCAGAAACATTTCTGCTCTTCATTTTCTCGATCACGACTCGTCCGCTGCTGTCTGTCTGTTTAAATTCTCTCCGCAGCTCGAGCAGACAAAGGCGTGCGCGCCGCGGACAAAAGATGCGTTGTGGCTGCCGTCGAAATATGAACCACCATTTTGATCCTCATCGCTGCGCAGACCGACATTTCCTGTCGGTGCTAGAATGGCTGAAGCCCGCACGGTTTGTGCAGACACGCACACGCACGCATGCACAGTGCTCGCCGCTGCTGTTCTCCATATTTGGGTGTAAGTCGGTGGAAAAGGCGCAATGGCGACACATGAATACAGAACCGCTGGCTCGATCTTCTCTGTCCTGTAGGAAGGCGACATGTTTCTTCTCCAGGTGGATCAGACTCTGAACGAGCGGCTGCAGCTTAAACGCATGCTGTTATTATAATATCCTCTGCACATTTACAGATAGTTCCCCATACATTATTGTAATAATCCACCTTCTTCTTGAATTAATTTATATAATTATTAATGCAGGCAGCACGGGCCTGCAGTGGGTCGCATGTTTAAGGTTCCAATCAGAGAAATTATTCAATTCATCCTGCAGAACTGCAGAGCGCGCGAATGAAAGCAACTTTGCGCACACGGCTGCGGCTTGATGATAAAGAGGGAATGTGAAACATCACACTTGCTCTATAAATATGTTCCCCTGCTCGAAGATGTTTCACTTTGACACATGACTGACTCACAGCTTCAAAGCCGCATAGACTATGGAGACATCTGACTGTCCGGTTCCTCCAGGTGGGTCTAGGCCTAAAGGGGATTCTATAAATTGCTCAATTAGACAAATTGTTTATCAAATGAATGAATAAAAACATTTTTCACACTTAGAAATGTAATTTTGGTCAGTTTTCCCATAGGCGGGTTAAAATGATCAATTAGTAATAGAGGTCAAGTTCATTTAAGTTGGACTTTAACTCCTAGTTTGGAGATAGCATGGGATTATTCCCAGATCCAGATGTTTTAAAGTTGTTTTTCCATTTTGCACATTGCAAAGGTGAAAGACATGAGCAGGATTACAGATTTTACAATATTCTACCAAACCACATTTCTAAAACTCAAAATTCTTCCAGGAAGCAGAACTCCTCTCTCAAATTAAGTTCTGCGCTCCCTCTTGGCCTCCTGTTTCCTTTCAGTTTCCCCAGACAACATTCTTTGATGCAAGCACCTCCCAGAGACACCTCGCACATTCCAGGGCCTTCCTGTCAGAGCAATCCGCTCAAACTATTTCTGTCTGCAGCTCAGGCTGCTCCAGGCCTTCGGTGACCTCTTATGATCAAGGCTATGAAACAGTTCATGAAAAGGTCACGATATCTGGCCCTCTGATGCTGTAACTGAACAAAGATTTGGGTGAAATTCTGCATTGTTGTGGCCTAAGCACAGATGCTTTAGCCGAAAAACAGCAGGTTATTATTAAATGTCATTCTGACTCTCCGTCTGAGGGATTATTTACCTTCCTTAAAGCCTTTCTCAGGATTACATAATGGCCTTCCCTCCCCTCCTCCATGCCTGTTTACATTCCTGCTCGGGGTCAGGCCCAGTAGGAAAATAATGCATGGGTAAGGTTTTAATAACACAAGTGACCAGCATGGTTATGCAACGCACACAGAGCCCTTTGTGCAGGATGGTTTGTGCTTATGCAACCTGATCTGTTTTTCCTACTCAGCCTCATAAAAACAGCCAGCAGCTTTTAATGTTTCCAAATAGTTCTTTTTTTTTTGGAGGGGGGGGGGGGGGGGGCACACAAAACAAACGTGTCTGTAGAGTGAATAAAAAATCCAGAGCAGCATGTCAAAGGTCAGATTTATTGTGAAACATCCAAGAAGCTGAGCAAACAAGTCGGCCGATCTACTTCCAACAATCATCTGAGCAGAAGCAAAAACAAAATGAAGCAATCAGACGCGACTCACGATGCCGGGAAACGGCTTCTGCTTCTAAAACAACAATAAATATACGCACTCTTCATGTCTCCACTCTCGTAGCCTATAGCATTCAGATTTGCATTCAATGTGCACGGAAGGCCATAGAGTACATCCCACAGCTTTCAGCAGCATGATTAAAATAGCTTAGACTCATTGGTTTGCAAGGAACGGGGTTTAGAGTCAGCTTAATCTCTCGAGGTTTTGTTACGACCCTGTTAGAACTTTTTATAAAGCGTATAGTGCTCGTGTACGCTGAACGAGATGACACCCTGCGTTATCTGAGGTAAACCAGGTGGGAGGTTTGATGAATGACACTGTTTTTGCTCTGTGAGCGTTTATGGTTCAATAATCCTGATGAGAATGAGCGGGCGGACTGCTCAGGAGTGTGACCGCGTGTTTACACGACGTTCAGACACACCTTCTTGTTAAACTTGCATCTCGTGGCAATTTTTTTTCCCTTTCTTTAAACAAACCCACAGAAAAACGTGGAACCGAGTCCATCCGCTGTGAGGACGCTAGCTTATCCTAACAGAGTGTTAAATAGTAACATGTGTGAGCTGCTCCTCCACTAGTAATGACACAAGTGAATATATTCATATATATATATATTTATAAAAATGATTTAAGTGCTTTCAATTTGAGCCGTGATCACAGTACACTCAGGTTATCTCTGCTTTCCGGACCAAAATAAGAAATTATTAATACAAAGCATATAAAACTTCATAAATTTTAGGTTATAAGTTTGGTTTTAGAAAAACAGCATGTTTTTCAGCTCCAGGTGATTTATTTATTTTTTTTTTACATGGAGCATCTCCACCTGAATGCATTCGCTCAAATATTCGAGGGCACTTTCTTGGCTACGTCGCAGAGGAGTTACAGTATAAAACATCATAGCAAACCTTTTCAGTTATAAATGACAGATTTGAGTATCTGTACAGATTTGGGATGTTTTTACATATGCACATATGAACACGAGTCCTGCTTTGCTCCTCAGAAGGGAACGTATTCCTTAAAGGTGATGGTGAGACTGTTTGTTGTGATGTCCGTGATGATGATGTTTCCCATGAAAGGGGAGAGTTTTTTATTCTCTTGCTCTTTAGACGTGTCCGTGGGTTCCTGCGTGTCCTCGTGGACTGGCGGAGTGTCTTTTACCGTGGGTTGGGGGTCTACCTGCGGTTGGGTTTCTGCCTCCACCTGCTTCCTGTTTTTGTGGCAGCTGAGGTCCATTGGCTCGTCTTGGCTTCCTTCGGCTTCGCACGTAGGTGAGCGGCTGTCGCGCGGGCCGCTGCAGTGGAGGTCCATGGGTTTGTCCTGAGGGGGTGCCACCGCGCTGCAGGGAACGCTTAAGCTCCTTGACGCCAGAAAGACTTTGCTTCTGTCCTCGACAGGATCGGAGAGCTTCCGCTTCCGGTCGCCAGGGAACGAGGGTATCCTAATCTGGTCGACAGCTGTAGGCATTGGGATGTTGGTGTCGGCAGTCCAAGATGTTGGTGGAGAGCTAGCGGTGAGCTGCAGGGGCATGTCTTCCGGTAAATCCGCTTGACCCCGAGCCACTTCAGTGTTGTACTCCTCGGCTGTGCTTGGTGACGGTTTGGAAAAATGCCTGTCCTTTGGAGAGCATTTTAGAGGATGCTCTGCGACAGAGATGGGCCTGCTGTTGCAGATCTCTTTGGGGATACTGCTCTCCAGGTGGTCAGAAGGTTTGGTGCTTTGTGCTTTGTCCTCTTTTGACGAGTCCCTGTGTTTGTCCTTCGCTCCGTGGACTTTGTTGCTGTCCATGTATTTGCTCATGACAATAACAATGCGTCCATTCTTGTTTTTGTTCTTGATTATCTTCATTTTGCTGCTAACAGCAGTCGGTAGAGTCGCCTCCTTGGGGTTGGGTTTCAGTGCATTCTCACTTTGCGCCTCTTTAACAGCTGGTTTCCTCACTTCCACAGCCAGCTCTTTGACTTTGCTTAAGCAGCCAGTGTCTTTGTCCCGGATCCATTTCTGCTGCAGGGCCAGAGGTAAGTTCCACCCAGGATTAGTGGGCTTACTGGCTGGTTCCTGAACTTTGACCACCTCCTTAAGTCTGGACGCCTGTGTGTCGTACATATGTGGGTCCGGCTCATAGTGGTGGTGCTTCTTGCTGTTCAGCTGGTAGATAAACTTCTTTTTGCTGTTGGCCAGCTGATCGGCAGGCACTTCCGCGTTGCCGGGCTGGTAAGGATGGTGCTTCTTGCTGTTCAGCTGGTACTGTTGAGGCTGGGAGCGCTGCACCTGGATGGGATCAGGCTTGATTGTAGCCTCTATGTCCTGAGATGTGTCCTCGAAACCGGCTGGAATGCTTGATCTGCGGGCGAATGAGGGTACCTGAAACAAAAGACACAGCACTTCGTTAGACTTTAGCTTAGAAGTATAGAGACTACTGTGGGCCCTATGAATGTAAACGGGGTCCTAAATGGATACGCTCAAAACTGAAGGTGAGTCCTTTTCACTTCTTCCCAAAATTGTTTATTTAAACTAGTTGGATGCATTATTATGCATTAATTTTAGCATCATTGTTGATTTTCCTTTAGCCAATACCGTGCTGCAAATGTTGGACTTTTAAAAGTGTCTCACAACATTTGTGAGAGTTCTCCGTGTTCATGCATGGGACACAAAGTCACCGTGTCATGTCACTAGAGTTTAAAACACTTTCTAAAAAAACTAACAAGAGAATTGTTCCTCCTTATAAAGTTGCAATGGTCCCAAATGCCTTCCTAATTGGGTTTTCATGAGTAAGAACCGAAATTAAACGAGGATAAATGACAAACCAATCTAGACACTTTTCAACTAAGTTTCAGGGAGAACATTTGCACAAGAGAACCAATTTGTTAGTTATTAAATCACAAAACTCAGCCATGTCAAAAAAAAAAAACATGCATCATCTTGTGTCGCAAAACAGTCACAGAAAATCTCTAACAGGCATTAAAATGATCAAATTCCCTTTAGGGTTAGGGTTAGTAGCTCCAAATCACAGCACAAAGTCATCTGAAAGTTATTTACAAAGCGAAACAATCCAATTGAAGCTTTTTATTAAAACATGTTGATAAAAGGTCTGTAAACTCGATATCTCTTCATAGAACAGTAAAATAGTTCCAGACATACAAAGAAATCTGTTACTTCCTAAATATCCTGAAATAAGCATTTCCAAAGTGCAGTCCAGGGGCCATTTGTGGCTGCCCATTCCTAAAGCTTTCACCCCAGCAGCTGCATGCATACTCAAGCCTTTCAAAGATCAAAATAAAACGTCCAGTCAGTTTAACCCCCCACCCCACTCCCTCCATGCACAGGCTGACCCTGCAGCCGTCAGAGGGGCACTGCAGCGGAACACTCAAGACGCCGTGGCTGCAACCCCAGGTCACTGAAGTGCCACCGGACATGTCACGCTCTGCTCCTGATTGCCGGCCACGTGTGAGCCGGCCTCTCACTCTGCAACGCTGCACAGCAATCAGGACAAGCTCACAAAATGTGATCACGCTTTCAGTTTGGTTCTGCAAACCTCACGCTCAATGACATCCCACTGGCAGACTGTGTTTTTTTGCGTGGGTTAGGTGTTTAGCACAAGCTAACAAGCTAAAGCTGGTAGAAGAGCGCACAAGAGCATTGCATTTTCAACCTCACGCAGCGAGGCATGCTTGTGTTCAGATAAATTCTGCTGAAATATACTACTAGCATTAGGTGTGGCATCTTCTCTTTCCGGACATCTGACGGGCTGAAACTCTCTGAAGTGTTGCAGTGACTCGAGATATTTCCACTATAGGGAGATGAAACAGATGAATACCTGAAGCAGGAGATGCTTTGGTTTTGGTCCTCTTTTCCTGTATCCCATCAGCTGCTCCTGCCTCTCTCTGTGGAAGGAGAAGATGATTAGGTTGCATTAAAAATACAGGTTTGGTTCATTAGTTTGCTTCTATTCAAGGTCAAAAGTGGAACAGGGATTCAGAGGATAATGAGCATCCACACGTGGGCCCGCTGCAAAGCATTGCAGTCCTTATTTGCATAGCTCCCCGTGGTAATCGACCCGTTCCATATTCTCATTATCCCGGAGAAATTCAATTAAGGCTAGAGCGGGGGAAATCTCTCCTCAGCTTTGAAACATCCACCCTCCTGAAGCATATCCTCCGACAGTGGATCTGTGAGCAGGATATGAGGAAAAGAATGCTACTAGCTAACATCTGGGATGCTAGCAGCTACGCTATCAACATACAGGGTTTCTAGGTGAAAAATGACCCTCCCCATACGAGCCTTGACTCAGCACCTTGTCATAAATAACCAGCGGTGGGTGAAGGCCAGCTGTACATATGCTCAGTCAGACATCACCCCGACGGCGCTGGCCTCTTGTTACAGATGTTCTAAACCATCACAGCTGCCCGTAGAGCCGCCCACACTAAACAATCCCCCTCGCTGCGATTTCAAGCCAGTCTAACGGGGTGACCCTCATTCACACAAGATTTGGCAATTACAGACTCCCTCGTCGAATCCCCTCCCCCATCCACAGGGAGCAGAGAGGAATCCACACACACAGAGCGGCAAGGCAGCTCCCCGTGACCATCAAACACACACACACTCAGGCAGGCGGGGGGGAATATGAGAACGGTACACTGGAAACGTTGAGGAGAGCTGTGTGTCAATTAGCCTTTTCAGAAAAGCAAATTCCTTTCCCCAGACTGTCTTCACTCAGTCCCATGAGCAAGGCAGCGGCCTATAGAGGGAGTGTCTGTCAGGCCTCATGGGTGCGCACACACACACACACACACACACACACACACACACACACACACACACACACACACACACACACACACACACACACACACACACACACACATGAGGTGCGGTTGTCCATCCATCCAGTTTCTGACCCCGCTTGTCCATGTAGGGTCACAGGGTTGGGGGGGGGGGGGGGGGGGGGGGGGGGCTATCTCCAGTGGTCAAGGGGCAATCAGGTGGGGTACACCCTGGACAGAGAGCCAGTTCTTCGCAGGGCAACACAGAGACACACAGGACAAACAATCATGCACACACACACATACAAAGAGGTGCGGTTGTGTGAGAGATTAAATGACCACAGCATTTGAATTAATTAACATTTCAACGTCTGGTTCGGATGGTTGCAGACACAAGGCTGACCCGTTACCCTAAACACGCCGATTCAAGCATCCAAGAAGACATGAGCCCTAAAACCACAACAAACCCGTGACTGGTCAGCTGATCTCCCGCAGCCATAACTGTCTCCTGTTTGCACAAAAGCCCTCATTTTACAGTCTGATCTGCGTGGCAACATGGATTTCCCATTCTTCCCGATCATTTTGATGAAAGTGGGAAACTGTCTTAAATGGATGCATCCATTTGCATTCCTGACCAAATCTCATGATGTTAAATAAGAACTTCAAATATTCAATTATCCCCCATGAATTGAATTCTCCTGTATGGATTCAGGAATTCTCATCCTGCTTGTCCCCTGGGTGACTAGACCTATGAGGGGGTGGGAGGGAAGGGGGTAGATAGCGCCCTCCTCCCATGCCCTTATATGGACATGGCTGAACTGGAGGATGAGCGGCCTGCGTGGTGCGAAGTCCACCTCTCTCTCTCCCTCTCACCTGTGCTGAAACGAGACCAGAAGTCGCGGGTCAAGGATGTTTTCCTCCGGTTCCCATGTGTTGTATCTGCAGAGGGAGCAAAACAAACACGCTGTCAGTCAGGGAGCTGTCACGTGCATAGTATCTTTTTTCAACTGATGCACACAGAGGCCTTTCTCGCTCACACACACACACATTCCCACAACATGGTGCAGGTGAGACAGACCCGCGTAAACATCCCCTGACTCAGTTTAATCCCACAAACATCCTAAAAGCATCCTGACACAAACATCACAAACCCGCGCAAGCTGCAAGTGCGACATAACAAACCGTGTGTGTGTGTGTGTGTGTGTGAAGCGCTCGAGTCGGCCATTTTAGCGCCACTGTCTCGCAAATTCGCTGGCAGAGCAGAAATAATTAAAACGGGATTACATGGCCGTGCACCCCCACCCCCTCCCTCGCATAAATTGGTGAAGGCATCCGCGGATCCACCGAGCGGGGCACAAATGGCGTGCGCGCGCGCGCGTCCCTCACTTCCAAGCCGTCATTAACAGGAATGCAGATGTGCTTTTGCAGAGACACTTACTTTGGGGACCAGCCTCGCCACTTCACCAGGTACTCGATCTTGCCCTGTGGAGGTGGCGGAGGACATTCTCATATCAGCATCATCATTATTCTCAGTAATCAGATTTTCCTGCATGGCGCACTTCTTCTTGCACGTCTCCTCCTCCCTGCGGCTTGCTTTACCTTTCTTATGCGCTTCTTTTCGATGCCCTCCACCGCAAAGACGTGCTCTCCGGCGGCAGGGAGCTCCATGGTTGCTCGGTGAGACGTCGGTCTCGCACCGTCGGTGTGCAGCTCTCTTTTCTCGGTGCCTTCCGTGCGCGCTCGGGTAGAGTTTTCCGGTTGTATCCAAATTCGACGGTCTCTCTCTCTCTCTCTCCCTCTCTCTCTCTCTCTCTCTCTCTCTCTCTCTCTCTCTCTCTCTCTCTCTCTCTCTGCACACTCCTCCAGTCTCTCTCTCTCTCTCTCTCTGCACACTCCTCCAGTCCTGGCAGTGAGCAGAGATATCCACAGCAGCTCTTTTCGTGCTTCTGCTCGGTGCGTGACGTCATGAAGAGGAGGAGGATGGGAGAACGGGGAGGAAGGGGGGTTGAAGACCTTGCAGGGCGAGCTGGACCGGCGGGGGGCATATTGATGATTTTTAATGTGTCATCTGATTACAGAAAATGTGTGCATCTGTGGTTGACTTGTTCACAAAAACAGATGGAAATATTATGTTTCACTTCTAAAATCCCATAACCTTAAAATGTATCTAAAAGAAAACGATCAGGATTTATCAGATGAACAGGAAAAACACGTTTCCAAACACGTAGCACACTTTTAAGCGTGGCACTTCCACCAAAAATCAACTGAACGCTAATGTTAAGCCACCTGTCCTCTGATAGAGTTTCAACAAACACCAAAGGAGGCGCCCAAAGCCTCTGTTCAAGCTGATGAAAATGGGGGGAAATCTGTTTCAGTTGGTTATCTCGACCTGTTGGAAATATCCAGACTCCATATTTAGGTCACGCTGTCTGACACCGCTCCAAGTTACCTGTGACACCTTTCCATGACTCTCTCATCTTGTTGGCCCGACAGCCCTACCGAATCCTGGTAATGGTTCCCTTCCAAATCTACACCAAATCCAGCAGCTTAAACCACTTTAGTAGAGAGCTTGTTATCCATGCTGTAAATGTCATCCACATGGAGACAACAGATTTATGGGGAGTTTATTGGAAACATGATCTTTAAAACCTGCCTCCGTGCGCAAATTACCCATCTACCGCGCGTAAATGTCACCGAAACGAAAGTATTTATTGTTTGTGGCGCATGGAAGGTGCAAAAACAGAAACGAACGAGCCAAAACCGATGTTTCCCCCTTCGCTCTAAAAATAATTCAGCACCAGAAGGGTTAAATGAAGCCTAAGCAGAGCGGCAGCGGCCAGCCTATTAAACACGGGCACGATCTATCTCTGCCCTGCCATATAAGGTAATAGACCAAAAGCGCAGGAATAAGGAACTCTGCGCACATTTATTCTTGACTTTGACTTCGGATTGGCGTGCAGGGGAGGGTTACGGTCGTGGTCGTTGCAAACAGCTCAATGAAAGTCAATAATTTACGCACGGTTTGCGTTTTTCTCCTCCGTGCCCTTCATCCGCGCGGCCAGGCAGCGCATACGCCCTGCTCCCCATAGCAACAGCATTTAAAATGGCAAAAGAGCCCCACTCGGAGAGAAAACAGCCAGTTTAAGTTTGTCACAAACAATTCCGCAGAAAACCACCCCAGCTTCTAATCACCACCTTGTCACGTTTTCCTCCTAATCGAAACGCACCGACAGCGTTTGTTTTTGTTTTGCTCCTTTTTGAGCTGCGGCAATTCTGTCAGCTTTGTTTACTCAGCAAGTACCCAAAATACAAATTATGTGTCATTTCATGTTTGTACTGACGAGAAGGACGCCTGGAGTCTGCGTCAATGCGCAGATAATCGCTGAGAAAATCCTCTGACTCAGATTAGGGGGGGATCATGACAACATAACCTTTATATGTCCTATTAGCGGCTCCATCTGATTAATCAGTCTAACGAATAAACAGCATCGGCAGCACGCAGATAACGGAGTTCCACAAACCCACACGTTCCTCAGAAATAACAGAAATCTAAATCTAAAAAGAAAAGACTTGCGCTGCTCATCAGTGGCTCCTAATCGCTCCGAGCTGTAATTATTGATCACATCGAGACGTTTTTGTTCCGATCAGACTGAAACATCTGGTTTTGGTGTGTGTTTTCCGACCAGTTTTTCGAAGTCGCGCGCTGCAGGTGAGTTCTGCAGAACTTTATCCACCCGCGCTGAAAGTCAGAGCGGACCCAGAGGAAATCATTCGATTATTTTGACAGAAAGAAGCTTCATCAGATGGAGTAAAAAAAAATAAACCCAAAGTCATCGAATTTACAAGATAATGTTTTAGAGATTTAACCCAAAATGAGATTTTCTACATGAATCTGAGTGGAATCCCACGCTCTGGAGGGAGTTGGTCTATTTGCATGCAACAGTTGAAGCTGATTTAGTCTTGCTGCAGCTGTCAAGGTTAGATGATTGTGTTATCTGAAACGTGAGGATAAACCCATGGTCAGCCAAAACAACCTCTTCTCTAGTTGTTGATGCAGCAGCAAGGGGAAGAGTTTTATATTTTGCAAGAGTGAAAAAGTCGTTTTTCCTCTGAACTTTGTCTGATTTAAACAAATCTGAGCATTTCTGTAAAGAGGTGATCTGGTCCCTTCTCATCATCTCTTCATATCTCTCTTGTTTATCTCACCTTGCCTCCTTTAATGCATCCAGGTGTTTGATGAAGCAGCTCAGGAGGCCTCCCTGCCCTGGCACCAGCCAGCCAGCATGGTGCCAGGAACCACAGAGGGAAGGAACTCAGTTGTGATGGGACAGATGGAGGTAAAATAAAGACATGGAGGGGAGTCCCCTTTATGTTTCATAACTGAGGCATTTCTCCACAATCAGGGGAAATATTGTTGCTTTAACACAAAGCAGGAAGTGTCACAAAAATATTAAAGGGTCTTTAGACTTTTTCACGTTTCTCTGCAGGCAATGGGAAGGACGCAGGCATGGGATAAAAATACTACCAGGTCCAAAGTGTTGCTGAAAACAGATCAGCCAAACTCTGAATTACTGAATCAGAGGCTCTTTAATTACAGTAAATATGCTCGGTGACTTATTATCTGGTAACAAAAGATCCTTTCAGGTACCTGCATGTGCCTCTGCCTGAGGTGTTAACACAGAAATCTCCCCGTCCCTTTGTCTGCTTCTGACATATGTTTAATTATGATAATTGTAACAAATGAAAGCTATTAGGAAGTCATTCATCTTCCCTCCGCAGACTTTAATGAAGGCGTGTGTGTGTGGTGTGTGTGTGTGTGTGTGTGTGTGTGTGTGTGTGTGTGTGTGTGTGTGTGTGTGTGTGTGTGTGTGTGTTTGGAAGGGGGAGGGAGGGAGAGGGAAATTCCTCCTCCAGTGTCACTGTCACGGCCATTGTTGAGGAGACAGGTCTGCAACGAAGGGACCTCCTCTGCCAGGGTGCACCCTTCTACCCTACTGCCTCCCTCCCTTCCCTTCCTCTCTGCACCCTGCTTGTGAGGCTGCCGTCGTGTGGGGTTCACCCCCACCTTCACCCTCAGCACCACATCCATTGATCCTCCCCTTCTCTTTCCCTCTGCTCCTCTGGCTCCTGAGCAGGAGGTGGAGGGGAAGGGAGAGTGCAAAGGGAGCATGGGAGAGAGTGAAGAGAAGGAGGGAGGTGGGAGAGAGGCAGAGAGCAGGCTTCCAGGGTAGCTGGCAGAGGGGCGAGAGCCGAGGATAGTGGTGCGTTGGAATTTGGTTTGAGCTTGTTGTTTCTTCACCCCCCACCCCCCACCCCCCACCCCACACACACGTCCACTGCCATCAGTGATAACTCTACATCTTTGTGCTGAAAACACACAATAGCAAGCTTGTCCATGCAGCACAATGGTGCAGCACACAATAGCACGCTTCAGAGAACAATGGCTGAATAATCCACTGAATAATTGTTTGCATATTTTTTTGCCTGATCTGAAGCAAAAATGATTTCCTCAGGATGGGGTGGATGTTTCCACCAACGTGACGAGAGCGGTTCCTCTAAATGTGCACGGCTCAACGTTCAGATTTAGCTGCCTTCACTCTAACGTTGAGTGACACGGGCCCTTATCCTGAGAGCCCTCGCCTCACCCCCAAACCATCTCCTGGGAACAGCTTATTTGCCTGTTTTTAATTGCGTCTTAATTTACATGTAAGCCCGGAAGCACCATGTTCCTTCTCGTCGATGATGAATGTGCAAATGTGCATTTTGCAAGAGGAAGGAGAGTCGATGAAGCAACAGGAACATGAAAATTGGAGGTTTATCCCTTTATTTTTCTGGGTGAGGGGGTCAACACCAGGTCAGGAACAATCAAGTGTCCTGCTCAAATAGAAACATCCACTCTGAGGTTGAAAAAGAGGGAGGGGGTGATGAGATGATGTAGATGAAGCTGCCATCTCTCCATCAAAATGTAATAAGAGGAAGAGTGGACAAAGAGCTCTGCAGACAGACAAGTTTAATGTGCTCCACTATCTATATGGAAATTCAGCCACACAGGCGTTCGCCCGCTTCTCTCTTTCCCATCATTCATTCTGGGTTGTGATTGGCTGCTTGGAGAGAAGAGGAAGAAAAAAAGGAGGAGCAGAGAGATAAAGCAAGCTTCCTTTAGTTGAGCAGCGAGCTGGGTTTTAAGATTTGTATTGAATTTAGAGATAATCAGTCCAACGTGAAGCTGCTGGTTTGCAAAAATAACAAAAAGAGGTAGCAAACACTGTGCCTCCTCAGCAGTTTTAGAAACAAAGAGAGTTTATCTGCTCTTTTCAAGCTTTGTTCAAACTCACAAAATGACTGGCACTGCCTCTCCTGCTCCGTCTGTTACTCACCCTCCCTTCTGTTCATATTAAACTTCCTCCTCATAACTTCTCAGATATATAGTGAGGATCCCTCTCTCAGTCCCTCACCGCTCGCTTGAGGCCAGCCTGTCAGGACTCATAAAGGCAGGGCTGCCTGTCAGTGTGGGTTCCTGTCACTCAGCAGCCCGCCACTCCAGGGCGCGTGCAGCAGACATCATACACTCAACACAGGAACTCGGTGTGTCGCAGGTACTGCAGCTCGCCACATCAGAGCCAGGAAGGCCTCTTCCTGAGCCGCTCACAGGCAGCTCTTTGTCTGCTGCGTGTCCTGTAGTGTCCCCCGTACCTCTGCTTTTTGTGATGTCCAGCGGCCTCAAACCCATGCTAAGGCAGCAAACAAGTCATTAACGCTGCAGGAGGAGGACATGTGTTGTTTTTGCTCAAATTTAGACAAAGTTTTGCTTTTCTCCCTCTAAAAGCTTCAGAAACATCCTGATTCGTCAAGCTTTTCTCATTATTTAAACTAATCCCTTCAACATTTCAACAAATGAGTCCATTTTCATCCACGTGGAAACTTTTA